AAATCAAAATCTAAAGCATGGCTATCAGGAGGATCACTAGAATTATCCATTTGAGAGATGGTTGGAGTGCAGAGTATTCTCTTTCATTGTTCAAAATGAGCTCAACTCCTGATGCATGGAGAAAAGGCCTTCACAAGCCTCTGCTATTGTGTACATAGTTTATACTAAGTGACCCATAGGTTGAGGAGGCGGTGAACATGGCGGTGTGTGTGGAAGCGGTGGTGGAGGAGGAGGAGGTAGCCAACACTGTTTTAATTTTTTTTTAATTTTTTATTGGGGTAGCCCCCAAAATATTAGGACATATAAAAAAATAAAACAAAGAATAAGTGCACTTGAGTATAACAATGTCTGCTTGAGGCAATGGCTGCTTATTCTGCACAAGGTACAGACAAGTCTGGTGGGATCCATGCCTGGCTCATTTTAATAAATGTGAGCTTTTTCCACGTTGGCTGTGGACAGGCGGCTGTGCTTTTCTGTGAAAATGCCCCCTGCCGTGCTAAACATACGTTCAGACAATAAACTGGCTGCAGGGCAAGCCAGCACCTCCAAGGCATAAAGGGCAAGTTCAGGTCATGTGCCCAATTTGGAGACCCAGAAGTTGAATGGGCAGACCCATCAGTCAGTACGTCTAGGCGTGTGCACACGTACTGTTCCACCATGTTGCTGAAATGCTGCCTCCTGCTAAGATGTTCCATATCAGATGGTGGTGCTGGTTGTTGTGGCGTGCTGACAAAGCTTTTCCACATTTTGGCCATGCTAACCCTGCCTTCTGAGGTGCTGGCGGTGCCCCAGCTGCATTGGCGACCTCTTCCTCCTCCTCTGCCTTCGCCTTGTGCTTCCACTGAGCCCCCGGTGTCAGTTGGGAATGCCCTCAGTAGCGCGTCTACCAGCATGCGCTAGTAGTCGTGCATCTTCCGATCATGCTTCAGTGAGGGAATTAAGGACAGAGCGTTGTCCTTGTAATGAGGATCCAGCAGGGTGGCCACCCAGTAATCAGCACAAGTTAGAATGTGGGCAACTCGGCAGTCATTGTGCAGGCACTGCAGCGTGTACTCGCTCATGTGTGCCAGGCTGCCCAGAGGCAAGGCCAAGCTGTCCTCTATGGGAGGTTTATCGTCTGTGTCCTCTGTATCCCCCCAGTCACGCTCCAGTGATGCCCACGAGCTGCGTTGGATGCCACCCTGCTGTGAACACGGTTCCTCCTCCTCATCCTCATCCTCATCATCCTCCTCCTCATCCTCCAAAACTGTGCCCTGGCTGGACAATTGTGTACCTGGCCTATGCTGGTGCAAGAACCCACCCTCCAAGCCACTTGTGAACTGGCCTAATAACCGTGGAAATGACCCCTCTTCCTCCTGTGCCACATCCTCTTTCGTCATCGCCCGAACCGATTTTTCAAGGAAACATAGAAGCGGGATAGTAAGGCTGAGAACGGCGTCATCGGCACTGGACATGTTGGTGGAGTACTCAAAACAGTGCAAAATGACACACAGGTCTCGCATGGAGGCCCACTCATTGGTGGTGAAGTGGTGCTGTTCCGCAGAGCGACTGACCCGTGTGTGCTGCATCTGAAACTCCACTATCACCTGCTGCTGCTCGCACAGTCTCAGGAGTTCCACCTTGTGGGCATGTCACATATGAGGTGGTAAGCGGGAAGGCCGAAGTTATGCTGCAGCGCAGACAGACGAGCAGCAGCAGGGTGACAATGGCGAAAGCGCGCACAGACGGCCCGCACTTTCTGCAGCAGCTCTGATATATCTGGATAGGTTTTAAGGAATTTCTGCACAACCAAATTCAGCACATGCGCCAGGCAAGGGATGTGTGGCAAACCGGCTAGGCCCAGAGCTGCTACGAGACACCACCAGGCTGGGCTTGAGGCTCAGTGGCAACAACCACTCATCGGTTTGTTGTACCATGTCCACAGCTCCTGCACGGTGTGGTTTTTTTTTCCCCAAACATATGAGTTTTAAAACAGCCTGCTGTCATTTCCACCTGACTGCGCTGAAGTTGGTGGTGAAGGTGTTACGCTGCCTGGATGAGTGGTTGTGCATCATTGCACTCAATCTCTTCCACTTTTGGGGCAGGGCTAGGTGGATGGCCCACGGAAACCCCGCCAGCAAAGTCATCAAAACGAATAAGAGACTGCTGCATGACTTGTGGCTCAGACTGCTTGGCTAATTTTCAAGGGGGTGAGGTGAAAGAGAGATGGTTATGGGCTGCAGGTGCCAACTCTGAGCTTTCAGCAGGGCACCGGGTGGGAGACAATGTGAAGGAACTGGAGGCACTGTCAGCCATCCAATCTACTATCGCCTGTACTTGTTCTGGCCTCACCATTCAAAGAACGGCATTCTGGTCTACCATATAACGCTGAACGTTCTGTTGCGTACTCGCACCTAAGGAAGGTGTTTCACTTGTGCGTGTAGCTGGCACAAATCGACCAAGTCCTCTCCTTGCAACAGGAGCTCCACCAACACCAGCAGCACCACGACTAGGGCCACGTCCCTTATATGACGCTCTCCTCATTCTTTGCGTTCACCCACCAAACTAACAGATGGTTTATGTCAGGTGACAATGTAACCGCCAATAGTCAACAATTTAAAAAAAAAAAAAAAAATTAATTTATTGGACTGCAAGAAATGCACCGCAGGCCACAAACGTACTATTTAGCACCCAAAAAAATTGAATTTTTTAAAGTGCGATGTAACCACAATATTTGACGATTCTATTTGACTCTTAGATATGAAGTGCAGGCATCAAATTTACTTTTTAGCACCTAAAGAATTAGAATTTTTAAAACTGCAATGTAAGCACAGTATTTGACGGTTCTATTTAACTCTCAGATATGAAGTGCATGCCCCAAATTTACTTTTTAGCACCAAAAAATTGTGAATTTTTAAAACTGCACTGTAAGCACAGTATTTGACGGTTCTATTTGACTCTCAGATATTAAGTGCACCGCAGGCTGCAAATGTACTATTTAGCACCAATAAGTTAGATTTTTTTTAAACCAACAATGTAACAGTAGTATTTAAGGGTTTTATTGGACTGCAAGAAATGCAGTAAGCAAATGTACTATTTAGCACCAAAAAAATTGCAGTATTTAAAAATGCCTGGATGTTGCCCACTGAGCTACCAGAACAGGATTATTATTATTATTATTATTTTATTATTTATATAGCGCCAACAAATTCCATAGCGCTGTACAATGGGTGGACTAACAGACACATAACTGAGATCAGACCACTGACGTACAGGAACAGAGGGGGTTGAGGGCCCTGCTCGATGAGCTTACATGCTAGAGGGAGTGGGGCATAGTGACACAAAGGGTTAAAGTAGGGGAATTAAATAGTTTGTTACAGAAGGGTTTATGGAGTGCTTGGTAGGTCATTTTTGACAGGTGAAGGAACGGAGTCATGGGGTGGGGTATGAGAAACCTGCTGACCTTTTAATTGATACGCTTTAATGAAGAAGTGAGTTTTCAAAGATTTTTTGAAGGAATGGAGGCTGGGTGAAAGTCTGATTGAGGAGGGAAGGGAGTTCCACAGAATAGGTGCAGCCCTGGAGAAGTCTTGAAGGCGAGCATCAGAGGTGGGGATCCGGGCAGAGGATAGGAGTAGGTCTTGGGCTGAGCGCAGGGGTTTCGACGGGACATACTTGTGTATGAGGGAGGATAGGTATGTTGGAGCAGTATTATGTAGGGATTTGTAAGCAAGCACCAGAATTTTGAATTGGGCCCTATATCTAACTGGAAGCCAATGCAGGGACTGACAGAGCGTGGAGGCGTGGGAGGTGCGACCGGACAGGAAAATAAGCCTCGCAGCCGTATTCATTATAGATTGCAGCGGTGCAAGCTGGGAACATGTAAGACCGGTGAGAAGGGGATTGCAATAGTCAAGGCGAGAGAGAACAACAGCATGAACCAGTACCTTAGCCGCGTCCGGCGTTAGATATGGGCGGATGCGCGCTATGTTCTTGAGTTGGAAGCGACAGGATTTGGCTATCGATTGAACATGGGGAGTAAAAGAGAGATCAGAATCAAAAAGAACTCCTAGGCAGCGAGCCTGGGAGGTAGAGGTGATAGTAGCGCCGTTGACTTGGATGGCGACAGACACAGGAATAGCAGCACTTGAGGGAGGAAAAACTAGAAGTTCTGTTTTGGACAGGTTGAGTTTAAGGAAGTGAGCAGCCATCCAGTTGGAAACAGCAGAAAGGCAGTCAGAAACATGAGTCAAGGTGGGCGGAGAGCGATCAGGGGAGGACAGGTAGATTTGCGTGTCAAAGGATTAAAGTAATGTGCCTGGCACACATGCAGTTGCAAGTGCACTTCACTCTCTGTGGCACTGGGCTCAGGGCAGGGTACAAAAATGTAGTATTATTGCACCCACAAACATAATCGCTGTAGTTTGCAGATTCAACACCATAATTCTTTCCTAATCTGTCCCTCACAGCTGCAGCATCCTTTCCCTACACTGATAAGAGCTCATGTGCGTGCGGCGCTACCCGACTCTAGCTTATATATACAGGGAGTGCAGAATTATTAGGCAAGTTGTATTTTTGAGGATTAATTTTATTATTGAACAACAACCATGTTCTCAATGAACCCAAAAAACTCATTAATATCAAAGCTGAATATTTTTGGAAGTAGTTTTTAGTTTGTTTTTAGTTTTAGCTATGTTAAGGGGATATCTGTGTGTGCAGGTGACTATTACTGTGCATAATTATTAGGCAACTTAACAAAAAACAAATATATACCCATTTCAATTATTTATTATTACCAGTGAAACCAATATAACATCTCAATATTCACAAATATACATTTCTGACATTCAAAAACAAAACAAAAACAAATCAGTGACCAATATAGCCACCTTTCTTTGCAAGGACACTCAAAAGCCTGCCATCCATGGATTCTGTCAGTGTTTTGATCTGTTCACCATCAACATTGCGTGCAGCAGCAACCACAGCCTCCCAGACACTGTTCAGAGAGGTGTACTGTTTTCCCTCCTTGTAAATCTCAAATTTGATGATGGACCACAGGTTCTCAATGGGGTTCAGATCAGGTGAACAAGGAGGCCATGTCATTAGATTTTCTTCTTTTATACCCTTTCTTGCCAGCCACGCTGTGGAGTACTTGGACGCGTGTGATGGAGCATTGTCCTGCATGAAAATCATGTTTTCTTGAAGGATGCAGACTTCTTCCTGTACCACTGCTTGAAGAAGGTGTCTTCCAGGAACTGGCAGTAGGACTGGGAGTTGAGCTTGACTCCATCCTCAACCCGAAAAGGCCCCACAAGCTCATCTTTGATGATACCAGCCCAAACCAGTACTCCACCTCCACCTTGCTGGCGTCTGAGTTGGACTGGAGCTCTCTGCCCTTTACCAATCCAGCCACGGGCCCATCCATCTGGCCCATCAAGACTCACTCTCATTTCATCAGTCCATAAAACCTTAGAAAAATCAGTCTTGAGATATTTCTTGGCCCAGTCTTGACGTTTCAGCTTGTGTGTCTTGTTCAGTGGTGGTCGTCTTTCAGCCTTTCTTACCTTGGCCATGTCTCTGAGTATTGCACACCTTGTGCTTTTGGGCACTCCAGTGATGTTGCAGCTCTGAAATATGGCCAAACTGGTGGCAAGTGGCATCGTGGCAGCTGCACGCTTGACTTTTCTCAGTTCATGGGCAGTTATTTTGCGCCTTGGTTTTTCCACACGCTTCTTGCGACCCTGTTGACTATTTTGAATGAAACGCTTGATTGTTCGATGATCACGCTTCAGAAGCTTTGCAATTTTAAGAGTGCTGCATCCCTCTGCAAGATATCTCACTATTTTTGACTTTTCTGAGCCTGTCAAGTCCTTCTTTTGACCCATTTTGCCAAAGGAAAGGAGGTTGCCTAATAATTATGCACACCTGATATAGGGTGTTGATGTCATTAGACCACACCCCTTCTCATTACAGAGATGCACATCACCTAATATGCTTAATTGGTAGTAGGCTTTCGAGTCTATACAGCTTGGAGTAAGACAACATGCATAAAGAGGATGATGTGGTCAAAATACTAATTTGCCTAATAATTCTGCACTCCCTGTGGAGGCTGGGTCACATGCTGCACTGGCCAATCACAGCCATGCCATTAGTAGGCATGGCTGTGATGACTTCTAAGGGCACACGAGTCAAACGCTTGTTGATTGGCTGCCCTGCATACACTGATATGTCTGTGTTTGGGTCCGGGGTCCAAAAACGTAATGTTCGGTAAGAACCCGAACTTTACAGTCTGGGTTTGCTCAACTCTGGAAAGATTTATCCATGATTAATTTCTATATCAGTGCTGTGGCCTATATTTCTTGTTATTGACCATTCTTTGACTGCTCCTTGTCCCAATCCCTATTTTTTATGCAACTATTACAATTTCTGGCATTCCTGGATACCTAAACCACAAGCGCAATAGTATTTGAATATAGGTACGTTATGCGTTAAACTTGCACATTTTTACAATTAGTGGTTTGTATAATAGGATTGTGTTAAAGAATCTCCATTATGTTTATAGATCTTATATGTTAGTCAGGTATGCCTAGATTGGGTGGGTGGGTGTGTAGTGTTGTTTTGTCTTAGAGGGTCTAGGCGGGTGCTGCGGGGGTTTAAGCTGTTTGTCAGCTTACGTTTGGATGGTGGAGGCTGAGGGGCCCCTGTAAAGGTGCTACATAGTGGTTCCGTAGGGGGTATGGATCATTCCTTAGGGGTTTGGGGGAGTTGTGCATATGGATTCGCAATGTGTGGAGCGTTATGTACATCTGGCTGAGCAGGCTCCATATGCAGCCAACTGTTAGGGATTGTGATAGTAGGGTAGGTTATCATGTGGCAGGTGGGTTAGTTATTCCCGTACCTGTCGGCTAGCATAGACCCCGCTGTGTCAGAGGGAGGGGGGGAGTGTGGGTGCGTGGGCCCCTCAGAGTGGTTCGCCCTCCTCTGAGAGGGGTGTTAGTGGGGTATTGTGGGGTGTGGGTGCCATCTCGATTCTTTATACTTTTAGCCCAGTTTTGGGACATTCGTAGCTAGCTGTTGTGCGCCTTAAAGACATATACATGAACTGAAAATGTTAAACGTTAAACACATTATAAAACATATTGTGATATGTTGAGCTATGCGCCGGTTTTCGCCGCCTTGTCTAGTTGTTTCAGGGTGATTTATGCTCAGTCCTGCCAGGGTTCAGATTCCCCGGATGTGGTGGCTCTTGGTGTGAACGTGGTTGTGGTTGTTAGGTCCCATGTGTTGGGTGGCTTGTCTCAAGGTGCGCTTACGGTCTGGTCTTCTATGCCTAATGATGTAAGGAAAGTGGGTATGTCTGCTCCAGATTCTAGCGTGCGAACAGTCCTGTTGTATGTAGCTAACAGAGTTCCAGGGGGGCCCCATCTGTATACCACCCCCGCGTATTTTACGTTTACCAAAACAAGACATACAATCACAAATCATCAAGATACAGTACATTAATAGTCTCCTAAAGGCCATTTATTCCATTTCCTTCTTATTCAAAACACATATCAATCTGTTATAAATCCAGTGCCTCCAAGGCCTTAACATACTACATCACATAAAAACAAAACAAAAACAGAAACATGATGGTCTCAAGAATTAAAATACACATGTCACATGTTTAAGGCCAAAGGTTACCCAAATAGGGTTCTGAAAAGAGCCTATCTGAGGGCAATCCACACTGAACGGGAAACCCTAATTACAGATGGGGGTCGTAAGACTGAGGAAAATAAAATACGCTGCATAGGTACATATGATGCAGGATGGGACACTATGCTGAATGTCTTTCAAAAATTCTGGCCTATCCTCCAATCAGATAAGCATCTGAAGGAAATTCTGCCATCACTCCCTTCAATTACAGCACGGAGGGGCAAAAACTTGAGAGATATCCTAGCACCTAGTCACCTCTCAACTACGTCCCCGTCAGGTTATTTTCAAAAATACCTACCAATGGGTTCTTTCCAATGTGGTCACTGCAGTGCATGCCCGTTTATTACCAAGAGGGCCTCTGACAGCAAGGGCTTAATGAATTTCAAACCACGTTCCTTCTTTAATTGTAACACAACAGGAGTAGTTTACCTACTGTCTTGCTCCTGTGGCCTAAAATATGTAGGCAAGACTTTTCGCCACTTCAGGCTAAGGATACGTGAACATGTGAATTCTGTCAAGAGACGTTTGGAAACACCTGTCTCAAGGCATTTACATCTACATCACAATCACTCCTCGGCAGGCATCCGGTTCATGGGTCTTGAACATGTACCACAGCCTCCTAGGAAAGGAAACTGGGACCTAAAACTAAGACAAAGAGAGGCGTTTTGGATTTACCATCTCAAAACGCTATCTCCCCTGGGGCTAAATGAAGGGTTTTCATATTCCCCGTTTATTTAAAGTACTGCAATAATTCTGATAATAAATGGTATCCTAAGTTATGCCTGTATATATGTATATATTCTTTATTTATTTCTATTATATTTGGTGTTCATATGTCCATTAATTTTACCTGCATTATAGGTCTAAGAGTTTAGGGGTCTGTTTTGTGTTGCATAAACTAATGGGTTACTATTTACAGTGGCAATAAAAGAATTGTCGGCTTCTGTGTATGACTGCCCATATAGCCATTGTACTTATCCCTTACTGGTTCACAACGGTTATAAGTTGTTTCTTTAATTGTACTAAAGCTACACAATACAGCCATAAGAATCAATCCACACACTTGACCTATATGATACAATTTGGACATTCCAAGGGTTAATTGTTAAGCTATGGATACTGCCTTTTAGATATAGTAAGTATCCATTTATATCTGTTCCGGGCGGGGCACTCAAAGGGTTAATTCCCTTTCACCTGATTTCTGTTCTGGCTACCTCTGACATAGAAATGTGGGCTGACACTATGGTGTGTTACACCACACCCCCACAGCCCCATTCGCAGGAGGACCGGAGCAATTTAGACACAATCACAGGTGATTACAATAAAGCTTATGAGCTTAAGGTATAAATTTACCACCCGGACAGTTTTTTGCTCACTGCTGATACCCCTGAGGACGGCGTGTGGTCACGCCGAAACGTACGTCGGGTTCTTCTGTGTTTTTAATACTCTCTTGAGCACTTTGCTCTGAGCACCTTTTCATTTATGTTTTTCTAGTATGTGTGTGTAACCTGGGGCTTCAGATGTTATGACAGCATTTAGATTAGAACACCCACGAAGGTGTTTTATAGAAGATAGGGTATTAGCATAGCACTACTGTTTGGTTGGGAGTGTGTGTTTCTCCCTTTCCCTGTTCTTTCCTACTGCTTTGTTACCTGAGTTATGTATGGGGGTACATATTGCCTTCTATCCCCTCTCTGCTTCTTGTGAGGGTTGGCTCTTGATTAGCCTTGTTCCTACCATACATATTTCTCCCTATATTATTCTGTCCATCACTGATTACCCAGGTTTTTTAATAGATTTCAATAAAGGATTTTTTATTTTTTGGCAACTACACTACTGTTGAGATTGGACTGGGTATTTACCCTCTGGGCGGTCTTTATATAAGACATCCCTTTTTGGTTTTTTTTTCTTCCTTTTTTTCTCTGATTTAACAGTACCTTCTTAATTATCCTTGCTTAAGTTCTTTGCCTGAGAGGTGAATACTTTTCCTAGGTATTTAATGCTGTCTGTTTCCCATTTAAAAGTATATTTTCTCTCTAATAAATCCCTAGTAGCCTTATTTATATTCCAGCTCATAATATTTGATTTAGATGTATTAAGCTTATAATTTGACATATTTCCCTAATTTTCTAATTCCTTAAGAAGGTGGCTTATGGAAATTACAGGATCTGTCAGTAGGACATCGTCCGCATATAGGCTTATTTTTGTCTCTCTATGGAGAGAGATTCTAAGGTGAGTATATATAACATTGGGGAGAGAGGGCAGCCTTGCCTAGTCCCTTTTCGAACTCTAAACCAAGAAGAAGTAATACCTGAGTAAATAATCCTGTTAAGGGGTTAGTATAAAGAGCAGATATGGCCCTAAAGATCCAGCCACTAAAGCCTCTATTGATCAATGTTTGGAACATAAAATTCCAATTTACACGATCAAAGGCTTTATTTGCGTCAAGCGAAAGTAAAATAGTTTGATCCGATCTTCTATTTGTAAGATCAATCAGGTCTGTAACTCTTCGTATATTATCCGAGGGATATCTTCCGACAACAAAGCCTGTTTGATCTAGATGAATTAAAGATGGGATAATAGGTTTCAATCTATCAGCTATGACAGCAGAGTATAATTTTATATCAGCATTGATAAGTGA